TCTATTCTATTCTATTCTATTCTATTCTATTCTATTCTATTCTATTCCATTCCATTCCATTCCATTCCATTCCATTCCATTCCATATTATTATTCTATTCTATTCCTATTCTATTCCATATTACTATTGCTATGCTATGCTATGCTATGCTATGTTATGCTATGCTATGCTATGCTATGCTATTCCATATTATTTTTCTATTCTATTCCTATTCTATTCCATTCCATATTACTATTGCTATGCTATGCTATGCTATGCTATTCCATATTATTTTTCTATTCTATTCCTATTCTATTCGATTACATTTCATATTATTGTTCTGTTCTGTTCTGTTCTATTCTGTGTTATTCTGTTCTATTCCATCCCATCCCATCCCATATTCTATTCCATATTCTATATTCCATTCCATTCCATATTTCTTATTCCTATTGTATTCTACTATCCTAATTAAGACAAAACATGGAGAAGGCTACAGATTTTGTCTGGATACTATACCTAGTGTTCTCACAACAATCCATTGGATTCCTAGTGCAAACGATCGCTGTCTGTCGGAAACACACCTAGGGTACATAAAACAAACATTTAAAAATGAAGGCAAGCAGGATCAGCTACAGAGTGATTCAAACACAACCATTCTGTATCCCCCCCCCACACACACATTAAGTGCGAGAATGAATTAACCATACAAGGATGAGTAAAACGGGCTGCACAAAAGGCCAGGCGTCTCTTGGAGAGGGACAAGCAGGAATGACAAATATATATGTTGTAACACAAATGCCATCTCTTATGTACAGGTAGTCCTTGACTTAAAGCAGTTTATTTAGTGACCGTTTGAAGTTATAGCAGCATGGGAAAAAAACCTATTTTTCAGACTTATGACAATTGCAGCATTCCCATGGTCATCCAATTTACATTCAGATGCTTGAAAATGGGTTCGTATTTACGACGGTTGCAGTGTCTCAGGGTCGTGTGATTCCCCTTTGGTGACCTTCTGCCCAGGAAAGTCAATGAGGGGAAGCCAGATTCACTTAACAACTGTGTTACTGTGGCAAGAAAGGTTGTACAATGGGGCCAAACTCACTTAACAGCTGTCTCACTTAGCAATGGACATTTTGGACTCAATTATGGTTATAAGCCAAGGAATACTTGTAGTTTATTACAGTGTAACCTGTTATGGAACACATTCTAAGCCAAATTATAGGTTAAATATATCCTTAAACACAATGGTGTATCCGCAGGCATGGGGTGGCTTCACACTGTATGATTCATTAGAATAAATAAGGTTAGTTGGTTAGTTTGACTGATTCATTTGTGACTTGGGATGTTGTAGGAACTTAGGCAATCTGTCATGCCCCTGTTGGAGACTGATTCCGAGGGAGAGGAGGAACAGCCGACAGGGAGTGGAAGTGTGGCTCCAGAGGTTGTGGAGGAGGCTGGGGAAGGGCTGGGCAGTCAGAGGAAAACCCAGGCCCATCCCCTCTCCATCCTAGGGCACACAGAGAGGAGAGGATAAGGGAGGGACATGAATGGCATGGTCTACGGGGGAGGAAAGTGCCTTGATCCTCTTCATGGGCTGCAGCTGTGAGAACTGGTTAAAAGGGCGGACATGCGTATGGGCCAGTGCTGGAAACAAAGCATGGAAATATCTCTAGTCTGTTCTTCTCTGAGTTTGCCGTCCTTCCCAGTGTGTGTTCTGATATCTGTGGATGTCTTCAAGCCCTTATCTTGCCTGGTTCTCTTAATTGCTTCAATGTAGTTTGTGTTGTTTTTACTCTTTATAATTTATAGGCATTTTTAATTTAACTGGCATTTCCTCCTTTTCGTAACTGCTTGTGGGGGAGTTTTTTTTTGTCTCCGGTCAAGGATATTTGAAGCTTTGAAGCAAAGTGAAGGAGTAAAAAGGGCTCCACCCGTTTTTGTGACTGTGTTTATTTTGTATCCCACCCTGGGTCATCACACAATCATTTTAAGCAGGCTGTGTGAACAACCGGACTATCCCACTAACTATATCTGTGGTTACCACATATAACTATAGCCATTTCTGGTTTGCTCACATCAAGTTAGGATTTAAAGCAAGGGCCTTCAAATTTGGCAAGTTTAAAACTTGTGGGCTTCAACTCCCAGAATTCCTGAGCTAACATGACTGGGGGGGGGGAATTCTGGGAGTTGAAGTCCACAAGTCTTAAAGCTGTCAAGTTTGAAGACCCCTTATTTAAAGTGTAGTGTGAACCCAGTTTTGTTCCTATAGCCAATGTTGATCTGGAGTAATAACTAATTTGCCTGCAGACTTAATTTAAAAAAAGAAAGAAAGGGGTGCTGGAGTTTACTGGGTGACTCCAAACTTGGCCACTTTAAGACTTGAGGACTTCAACTCCCAGAATGCCTCACCGAGCCATGCAGGCTGGGGAACTCTGGAAGTTGAAGTCTACAAGTCTTAAAGTGGCCAAGTTTGCTGAGTGAGGAATTCTGGGAATTGAAATCCCCAGGTTTTATGGCCAAGTTTGGAGACCCCAGATTTAGATGGCTTAAAAAACATTCTTTCTGGCTGAGCTTTGAGAAAATAAGTCTTATTTCCTTGTAGCTTACCGCAGTGTAGCTGTCAACGCAGGAATGCTACTTAGGAATGTGAAGAGAATGATAACAAACATGAAAATCAAAAGGAGAGTCCTTTTTTCACATGAAGATGTGCACTTCCCTGCTGTAGCCAAGCCGGAGACCGGAGTGTTGGGTCCAATAATGCAGCTGCATTCATGATAAACCTTGGGAAGCAAGGATAGTACTTTAGAACAGCCACTTCACACTGTAACACAGTGGGGTCTATTTCTTTTCTCTGGCTAGTGCTGTTCAGGGGAAACAAACTACAACTGAGTGGTACAGCTCATAATTTGCATGCAAACATTCCTAAATTCAGCCCACAGTATCTGGTTATGCATGTACGGCATCTGGTCTGTACATGTACATGACTAAGGGAACTGTTATGTCTTAGTCTAACGAAGAGAAAGACTAGAGACGATAGATCAATCAATCAGAATAGAGTTGGAAGGGACCATGGAGGTCTTCTAGTCCAACCCCCTGCTCAAGCAGGAGATCCTATACCATTTCAGGCAAGTGGCTGCCCCAGTCTCTTCTTGAAAACCTCCAGTGATGAAGCACCCACAACTTCTGAAAGCAAGCTCTTCCACTAGTTAATTCTCCTCACTGTTAGGAAGTTTTTCTCCTTAATTCCAGGTTACTTATGACATGACAGCAATGTTCCAGTACTCAAGGGGCTGCCCCAAAGAAGAGGGAGTCAAGCTATTCTCCAAAGCACCTGAGGGTAGGACAAGAAGCAACAGATGGAAACTAATCAAGGAGACAAGCAACCTAGAAATAAGGAGAAATTTCCTGACAGTGAGAACAATTAATCAGTGGAACAATTTCTTGCCTCCAGAAGTTATAAATTCTCTAACACTGGAAGTTTTTAAGAAGATGTTGGTTAACCATTTGTCTGAAGTGGCCTAAGCAGGAGATTGGATTAGAAGACCTCCAAGGTCTCTTGCAACTTCTATTCTAATTCTAATTAATGCTTATTTCAATTCCAATTCCAATTCCAATTCCAATTTCCATTCCACTCCACTCCACTCCACTCCACTCTACTCTCTCCATAGACACACAGAGTCAACCTCAATCCTTTGGTTACACATCAACAGGGTTTGGACATGAGAAGGACTTGGAGAACAAGTGAAGACTGGCATCCCCCACACACCTTTTCCCCACTTTCGTGGTTTATTGATGCTTTCCTGCAACCAGCATGGCAGGGCGAGTAATAGGTGATGCCATCGTTCCCACACACGGGATTGTAGGTCTCACGCAGGCAATGGCACTCCATGTTGCAGGGGTCAGACAGGTTGAGGTGACCTTGCAGTAAGATGCTAAACAAAACATATCATCGATCAATATATTTTCTTCCTAGCATTATCAGTTGGGGCAATTGAAAACAACATGCAAGGCAAGAAGGAGATTTACCCAGCTAAGGGTTACTGATATATCTCAATAGTCGTTAGATGCTAATTTGGTGGCCATGATGACGCATTGGTTAGAAGGCGGAATTGCAGGCTAACTCTGCCCACTGCCAGCAGTTCGATCCTGACCAGCTCACGGTTGACTTGGCCTTCCATCCTTCCAAAGTCAGTAAAATGAGGACCCAGATTGTTGGGGGTAATAGGATGACTCTGTAAACTGCTTAGAGAGGGCTGTAAAGCGCTGTGAAGCGGTATAAAAGTCTAAGTGGTCTTGCTATTCATCTCAGCCATGAGTGTACAGCATCCTTGGGCATCTACTGTATCAATGCCTCATACCTCAACTTTAATATCTGCCATGCCCCTCCCCCCCAAAATGGTCAGAACTGAGTATAAGGCAGTGTCTGTATACTTCCAACAGTGGTTCAGGGGTAGCAACCTCTCTGGAAGACTGGAAAGAAAATCCAAACACTGTAGTATTTCTGGATTATTTATTAAAAATCCAATGTCTGCTAGTTGGTTGATCTTCTCTGTCTACCACTCTTCCATAGAACAGAAGATGGATGGATAAATGGAAAGGTAGATAAAGTGGATGATAGGGATTAGCTGATGGATTGATATACTGTATTCAGTAGATGATAAAAGATAGCTAGCTAGCTAGCTAGCTAGCTAGCTAGCTAGCTAGCTAGCTAGCTAGCTAGATAGATAGATAGATAGATAGATAGATAGATAGATAGGCAGGCAGGCAGGCAGGCAGGCAGGCAGGCAGGCAGGCAGGCAGGCAG